AGCAATGGTCTCTCTTTCCAACCAGTGGCAGGATTGATTGAGCCTGATTATGTGCGGATCAGGAAATTTAGTGAGGATGTTCAGTGCTGAGTCATTACTCTCCTCCATAGCTCTGGCATCTCACACATACAAAAGTGCATTTTCCAAGCCCCCATGGCACTGCTTGCTACAAACATGTTCTGACATAGGTAAGAAGGCAGTGGGTGTGCTGGGCCTATGGAATAATTTCTAACGTGACAGAGAATGTGGCTGTGGCATTTGTCCGGATAGCAATTTTAAAAATTGCTGCTACTCAGTGATTTGTGGATGCATTGTTTGTGTTCATGGAAAAGCATCTAGGCTGCTCTTAACATAACACTTCGAGTAAGTATTGTCTGTTCGGATTTTTTTGCCTCAGATATTTTGATGGCATGCAGACTTGGCATCCTGCTAAATAAAGACATTGAGTCTTTATAGTTTTATCTCTTGAGCCCATCTGGTTTGAAGTAGTTGACAACAAGCAGGAAAGGGAATAGAATGAAAGACTCACTTCATGTTTGCTGAAATAAAAGAAATGTGCAAGGCAGTGCTCAAACAGAACCAGCCTGGGAGAAGGGCTGCCTCTTGCCACCCCTCCTCTGCCCTTTCCAGATGATGGCTTTGCCTGCAGCCCCTCCACTCTCACGCTGGTTCTTGCAGCCCAGGGCAGGCCCTCCCACCCAGACTGAGGGCAGCTGAAGCAGCCAGGCCAGAGCACCACGAGAAGGGGAACCATTGCCCCTGGAACAAGGAACAGTGGGAGCACAAAGCAAGTGGAGTAAAACACAAATGTCCATCATCCAAGCTAAAACCAGTGACAAAAGCAATTGTGCTAGCACCTCACACCAAGGTGCCTCTGCAAGTTTTACATGTTGTCTATTCCATTTTTCACTTCTTTTTTGCAATTTAAAGCCCAAGGACATCAGTCTGAGTCCCTGGGCACCAGTGCAGTCACTCCTGTGAAGGCAGGCACTGAGCACAGCAGGGGCACCTGAGGTCTCCTGCCCTGCCCACTGAAGCACCCACTGGTGTCCAGCAGTGCCAGGGAGGAGGAGGACACTGCAGGAACACATTTCCTTTCCTTCTCCATCTCCCAGAGACCACCAAGAGCTGTTCACAGCGCTGCAGAAGCCAGGCTGGAGTGGATGTCACAGTCACTCCCTCCCAGTGCCCCTCTCAACTGTCCCCTGGCAGCTCCAGTTGCACTGGCAGCAGGAGATGGAAGCTGCTCTACAGCCTGGCAGGATGGCACAACATGGAGCAGAGAGCCTTGAAAATGTGTAGGGCCTCTTCTATCTATGCTGCTCCATCTCCTTACAGAATTAGGTCCTAAATGAGACTTTTCTGGCTCTTGTTCTTAATCACTTTGTTACTAGTTCAAATTTATAATTTTAACCTAAATAGAATTGAGTGATTTATTGTAATTATTTTGTATAGGCTGCTCTTAATAAACTTTTTTTTTTTAAATCTGGAAAAACATTTAATTTCCCATATGGAAAGAACACATTTATCATACTTTACTTGGATATACTTGGCCAGCTATTGCACATATATGCAAAACATATGTGACAAATTCAAGGCTGAATTTCATAAAACAGAAATGCTGTGAAATGTGATATAATAAATATATTACACAGACATATGTGGCCAATTTATAAAACTATGGTATCTTTGGTAAATTTATAATAGGTCATTTCTATTAATGGGGGGAATGAGAGTGTGTTTTCTGGCATATGCAACACCCACAATACTTTGCACAGCCCTCCTGAAGGACAGTGGGCCTTTGGAGAGCAGACTTGTACATGTACATACACTGTGTATATGGGACATGTCTGTGTTTTTCAAAATTAATGTGTGTCTTCAAAACCAGCTCTACCTTTTTGCATTGATTGTGTGTGCACATATTAGGCAGGAAAAAAAAAGTATGAAATATTATTCTTTGAGATTTCCAGCCTTTGATACACTATCTAGATTCCCACCGACAATGGTTGTCCCACTGTAACATTTTATAGGCACACGCTGAGCTCATGATAATGGCAGCAACAGAAATCTTTGGGTACAGTCACTTTCACCTAGTTTTGTCAAACACCTGTGTAAATTATATATCTTAGCAATCAATTGAATTGGAATAATTAAACGAAGAATAAAAGGCTTATGTTCAGAAAGACGTTGCATCCACACACATGTACATCCTCTACACACGCAGAGTGGGTTCTTAATAACACCAGCTTAAAGTGACAGCTGAGCCATTGATGGCTGAATATCCTCAAATTGCCACTCACAGGAGACTGCCCCTTCTTATTTATGCCAGAGTGTTTCAAAGGTGAAATCTTTCCTTTAACCCCCTAATCTACATTTTCCTCTCATCGTGTATTTCCCAGCTCTGGAAGATTAAGCCCCTCTGGTTTTCCGTGCGTGCCGAATCCACCGCGTGCCATGCCCGGCTCTTCCCTCTGGAGGGAGCCGGCTCTTCAGGCAGGGCCGGCCGGGCTGCGCGCAGCACCTTCCTTCTTTCCTTCTCTTCCTCCTCCTCCGCCGCGGCCACCGGGCAGCGGTACCTGCGGGGACCGTCCGAGGTGCCCCTCGGGACACACCGGGGGTGTCCCTGCCCACACCGGCCGTTCCACACAAACCGCGGGTCAGGCCAAAGCACCCGCGCTCTCAACGCGCTGCACAATTTGGTTTCAATCAGGAAACCGAACAGTAGGCAAAGCACAAAGAACCAACACATGTATGTGCACACAAACGCTCTTCTCCCACCTTCCAGCCGTGTTCCACAGGCTCTCGGCAGCTTTCTGAGCTCTTTGGGCAATGATGCTGAAACCTGCTTTGCAGGCACTGCTGTGTGTGCTCTTCCAGCCCTCTCCAGGCAGCAGGGCTCAGCTTCTGCCCCCAGCCCAAACCTGTGGGTGCCTGACTTGTTTCCAGCAGCCACAGGGATCCCTTTACACAGGCAGAACATTATACAACCTGCTTTTCTTATTCCACACAGATCGAGGTACAACTGCTGTTTGGTGAGGGATCCAGCATCACAGGCTGAAATCCACTTGCTGGAGAGAAGGAGGAGTGCTGGCAGGAAAGGACAGTGCCCCAGCTGAGGTGGCCCTGACCCACGTAGCCCCACTGGCCATGGCTCTGTGTGGAGATGCACTAGAAGCCCACAGCTCATGGGAGACCCACGCTGTCCCCAGCAGCCTGCTGCACACAGAGAACCTCTCTATACCTGCTACAGTCCTCGGGCCATTCTCCACCCTGCCAGCCACTGTTACACACACTGCAGCAGGATGCCAAAGCAGCTGCTCCCCTGGCCATGGCCACGGGTACCAGTGCCTGATATTGACTGAAGAGATGCCAACAGCCCAGGATGCTGAGGGGCAGCTGCTGGGCACTGCCTGCACAATTCTCGCCTGGGAGTTATAGGGTCTCCCTGAAGAGAAGGAAAGACTGAAGAGAACATCTATGAAATGTGTAAAGAGTGTGCATGAATACTGCAAACACACAGGAGTCTCATCCTGATGCTCCTATCCTACATTGAATTTAATCAATTTCACTAACAAGGACAGAATAAAATCAACTGCAAAAAACCATTTCTGAAAACTGGAGCTATCCCCAGTGTTTGGGTTAAGTGATTAAGCAAAGGCCACCCTTGTTCCATGCAGGTGGAACAAGGAACTAATCCTGGATTTATCCACTGAGCTGGGTGATGTGGTTTGCAGACCTCAGAAGCAATCACTGAACTCAGCCTGTACCTCTTGAAAATGAGCTAGATGGCTAATTTGTTCTCTGGCCCTATTTGGAAAATACAAAGGATGCTTGTAACCTCCACACTTGGGCCTGTTTCACAGCAGCTTTTACAGACCCTTCATGTGTAAGTGCTTTGTGTGACCTGAGGTACCCACAAGTGGAAGTTTTGCCTGGAAATGCGGCTGCCTTCTGTCCTAGTGTGTGCCATGGCCCTTGGTGACAGCGTGGGCTCAGTGGAATTTAACCAGACACATAATCACATCATACAAAGTCATTCCCCAAATCAATCTACAATACACAGACAATGCATGGCCTGTACATGATATGTCCTGATGTCCTGACTAACAGGCTGACAGGTCATATAATATTAAAGTTACAAATTTTCTGTGATTTTCAAAACTGGTCAATCTGCAGCATTATGGGGCTTTATTTATTTGAAGTGGATTTTTTCTAGATAGAAAAATGACCCTTTTTGTTTCCCATATCTGTAGCACTCCCATCCAGTGAGAGAGACATTGTTATGGAAGGAGGGACACCAGTCAAAGCCCTGAAGAATTTTGATTTAAGGATTAAAACACAACATGAACAGGACTGCTAATGTGCTTCAATGTGAACATGTGTAAGCACCTTGCATGCTAATGGACTAAATGCATGGTTAGAAATACCATTTTCATAGCTCAGACTGTGGGCTTGACACAGCTGCATGGTCTCCTTCCCATTCAGCCTCAGGACCTCTGCAGTGGTTCTTTAGCACAGAACACAGATGGTGATCCTGAGGGCCCTCTACCCACAGCCATAGCTTGAAGCTGTCATTTTCTCTTCTTCTAACAAATATAAAATTGAAATTCCTACAGTCAAGGCAAGGAGCCTTGAGCCATTTTCATTAAAGGCACAGTTTAGTCCTGGCACCTTGGGTCACTCTGTGTGTGCTTAAAGAGAACAGGTGCTTACCAATCCAAACAGATCTGTTTTCACCTGGAACCCCAACCTGCACACTGCTGTACTGTGATAGATTAGCACAACCATGGGCACCTGCAGCAAGCAGGGACAGAAGGGAAGGAGCAATCACCTATGGAGAACCACTGTTTGCTCAGACTAAGAACTCTCCTTATTTAAATAACTGCATTTTGTAGGGGAGGCTTAGACCTCAGGGCAGACGTGCTGACAAATATACACAAATAATCAAACAAGAAATGAAGGAAAGAAAGAAGAGAAAAAATATTTATAAATGTCACTGTCCAATGTCTTTTCAATTGAAATGAAATAAGATTATCTACATATATCTACAAATATCTACATGTATCTACACTTTGCAGATATGATTCTTTGGTTGTCTTCATTTTTTTTTTTTCTACACTGCAACTATCAAGAAAAAAAAAGGGTTTGTATAATCTTTGAAGGAAATAATAAATATAACAACTTCATTAAACATTTGACCAAAGCTTTGGCACTAATGAGTTTACAGATAACAAATCATACTGAAACCTCTGCAATAACAGCGGCAAAGCAACAGCAACAGAGCACATCCGAGAGCCATTTCCCACTGACTAATAATAAGCACAAGGCTATTTTACATCAACCTTTCTGAGAACATTATGCTTTAGTCAGACATTAAGAATCTCACAATTCACTGCAAATGTCAAATAAAATACATATTTCTTGCACAAGTTTTTTTTATGGATCCAGATATATTTTTTTAACAGAAAAAAAATACATAAAATATTCATGGTAGTCTGTATCCCTTCTTAAACCTTTCCAAAAAGGTTTTGGAAGCCCTAAGCCCACTGCCAGAGACAAAATAAACATTGCTATTAACACTGCCACCTGCACAAGGGAAAGAACATGTTTTAAAGAGTTTATAATGAAAATGCACAAACATGGATGAATAGATTACTTTAAAAGAAATAGCCCCCATCTTTTAATGGAGTCATGTGGAAGAATCAGGAAAGTGTTCATAATACTGTATACCAACACAGCTGAGGAGCTGCTCAATACCTTCTCTGAACACAAAGGGACTGCCTTCGGTGAGCATCTGACAAAAACACAAGCCAACTATTCAAAACACATCACTGGAGAACTCTGATGAGCAGGGCAATCTTTTTAGCAGTAAGGAACAACTACTGAATGAAGGTACGAAAGGAAAAAGGAAAAGTACTTACCAGCATTAAGAGGGAAGATACAGCAAGCAGGTAATGCAGAATAGATTCTTTAGAACTACTGCAGTTTGGGTCAGCCAAATATAAGGGGCAAACTAGTCAGAAAAAAACCCTGAGGTCCCTTTAAAAGGCACCTCCATGAGAGAGTATACAAGAGCTCAGGAAAGGATGCAGGAAGGCATAATTGTGTGAGGCTGCCTGGGAAGCAGGTGGGAAACACACACCTGAAATCTGCAGATATCCCCCCATCCCCAGGCCGGTTTTTAAACCTTTGCAGGTATTGTTGGGAAAACAAGATACAAACACAGCTGCACGTGTCTGTGCTCTTGGCCATAGGCCCTTCTCAACAGCTCCAGAAAATGCTGCTTTGCTTAAGGCATCCCAGTGAACCTCAAAACTTACAAATGGGTCAGGGCCAGAGGAGAAGTGGGCAATTTGTTCTGGCAGTGAGGATTCAAAGCACTCCCTTAAATTAAACTCTGCTTCCCCAGGAATCTCCTCAAAGAACCACCTGAGCCACCTGTGAACCAGCCCCCGGTGTGCCCCGGGTTGGGACAGACTGACACCGACAAGTGCAGGACGACACACGGCCCAGGGCCGGCCCACAGCCCCCGCCCGGTGCTCACGTACAGGCCCCGGGGGCACCGCCAACACCAAACCTCCATTAGAAGGCCCGGCGCGAGTGAGAGAGGATAAGTCACTTCACCGCTGCCGCCTCACCGTCCTCCCACCGCATCCCAGCCGCCCGACGGTCCTCGGTGCCCGGCACGAACGGAGGCGCGGGGGAACAGAGAGATAAGGACATATGGCTTCATTTATCAAAGTGCAGCCGCGGGTCACACCGCGATGGAGCTCCCGGCACCGCCGCCCTCACAGCCCCCACAGGGCGGGGCGCGGGGCGGGGCCCGGCTGCCGGCGATTGGGCTGTCTGGCTGTCGATCAGGTCAAGCTGGCCAATCAGCTCACTCGTAAGGCGGCGGTGGGGGAAAGGCGGGAAGGGGGAGGGCGGTGTCTCTCGTGCCGCCGGTGCCCCGTTACCGGGGCCCGTAGTCGTAGCCGGCGGGTGCCCCGGCCGGCGAGTACATGTTGGCGGCCGCCGCCGCCGCAGCCGCCGCGTTCATGTGGTGGTGATGATGGTGGTGGTAGCTGTGCCCGCGGATGCTGGGGAGGGGGTAGGGCGCGGGCCGGCTCTTCGCCCCCAGGTAGTGGTCGTAGGCGGCGGCCGCCGCCGGCGGGTACTTGTAGGGATGGTGGTGCAGCGGCTCGGACGCGGCGGGCTCCAGGCGCAGTTCGTGGTGCGGCGGGCTGGGCCGGCCGCCGCCCGCACCGGCCAGCGGCACCAGCCCGCCGCCTCCGCCCGGCAGCGCAGGGCTGAGCACACGGGACATGAGCTGCTGGTGCGCGGCCTCGGCCTGGTGCAGCACCGTCCCGCCGGCCTCCCGCTCGAACTCCCGCCGGCTCTCGGCTGCATCTGCGGGGGCAACAGAGTCAGAGCGGCCGCGCCCGCGGGAGCGCATCCGCGCACAGCGGGAAGAGGCCGCGAAGGGAAGAGCGGGGCGTGCGGCAGCGGCATGCTGCAGGAACGGGGCTGGCGGGACGGGACCTTCTGACTGAGATAAATGGAGTTGAGTTGACTGACAAGCTGGTACACGCCTGACATTTTTGCAATTGTGTAACACTAAACAAATACAGACTTCCCTTTATTTTGCAGGCCCGGTGTGCGTTGGAAGAAAGGCCTTCGGTTGTCTTTGCAGTTGTTTGCTCTGGGTAATGGAAAAGCAGTCAATGGGCAGAGGTGCTGTTCGACCTGACTGCAGCTCCTGAATGGAGTGGGTTGGCCCTACACGCACTGCCGAGGCGCATTAAAAGGGCAATGCGAGCAGGAACCTGTGGCCAGCACTGCATCTCTGCCTGAAAAGCTGAGTTTGTTGATAAAAAGTCGAAAATGGGACACTAAAGGCAAGGGGCAGTGTTTTTTAAAGCAGCAAGTTTTCTTAAGCACACAACAGCAAATGTTGTACTCCAAAGAAGAATGAGTTAGGCTATAAAGGCAGGTATTTTTCTTTTAAAAATAAACGATACCACAAAGCTTATTAGCAATGGGGCTGAGCACCAGCTCGGTGAGCAAGGCTGGCCCCAAGCATGCATGCACGGGCTGTGCAGGCCAACAGGGCCTGGGAGATGGACTGGCCTGGCCACTGAGGGCTCTCACCTTTCTCTGTCCCGTTCTGGTGGGCTGGGGAAGAGACTGGATTCCGGGATCTGGCAAAAGCGCTCATGAGAGGAAGAGGCCCTGGCCTGTGGTTCCTGGGCCTGGAAGAGGACGGGGAGAAGTGATACAGAGCTGATGGTCCAACAGAATGAACAATTTGAGTACTGTCTCTCTGAGCTGCAGCTGGCAAATGGGGCCCAATACGGTGTCCCCCTCCATGAAACCCTTGTGCAAATGTAAGCTGGGCAGATACATGTGAAATAGAGTGAGTGGGATATTGCCAAAACCAATAAAAGCATAGCCTTACCAGTCCTCAGGGTCACAGTCTCTGAATCCCTTAGCAAAAGGGTTGCTTGCAATCTTCAACTGCGTGATCTGTAAGAAGAAGTGGGAAAATGTCTCAAAGCAGCCCACAGGGCTCCCTGGCCAAACAGTGAGTGTGTCCCTGGGCAGGCTTTGGGACTCAGCAGTGCTTGGTGTAACAGAGGGGATCCAGGTGGCTGGTGGAGCCAGGGTGTTCTCTGCCACAGAGCACAAACACGTGCTTTCCCTCTGCTAGAAAATGCGGGCTAACATGCTACCTAATATGAGTTCAAGGTGAAGGGAGAGGCAGTCTGAGTCGGCTGCAAAATCTGACTAAATGCACTTGTAAGAAAATGCCACATTATATGGGTCACCACTGGAGCAGTTAAGACAAATCACTGGATAAATCATACTTATGTATTTATTTAATTCGCCAGGGAGAAGGCAGGACATTTTCTATATTTAAGCAAATCCACGGATAAAGTATGTGATTGTGAGTTTCCGGAATGGGTTGAAAAACAAACTTTAAGCCCCTCACTGACAGTTCCAGCCTTAGAGGTCAAACTGATAGAAAGCAGGAGAGAAAGAGCAGCTGTCCGGAGCCATCAGGCAAATGCCAGCCGGGGAGGGACTCCAGAGCCCCTTAAAGGCACAGCCTTTCTGTGGCCTCGCCGCCTCCACTGGGGCGAGGTGCGGCCCGACCGCAGCATCCCGGAGAGGCTCAGGTCAATTTGCTCGGAGCCACTGCAGAGGGTGACACTTGCACCGGTGCTCAGGGACAGCCCTGGGACACAGCCCCGGGACACAGCCCCGGCCTGCGCGGCATCGCCGCGGAGCGGGGCCGTACAGAGCAGCGCTGAAAAGCCCTCGCTATGAAATCGTATTTCCACTCGCTGCTGGGATTCCTGCTCTTTACATTACACTGATGCGATTTAAAGGAGCAATTGGATTAACGGCTGCCCAGAGATCCGTATTAGATTGGGGTGGGGGAGTTGTTTTTCGTTTTGTTTCGTTTTTAATGTATTCTGAGGAGAGACAGACCGCTACGAACTTAAAGCAGTAAAATCGCAGATTTATCCAAACAAATTGTGAGTGACATTTCGCAGCGGGAAGCCTGTAGTTTCCCCACTAGCCCCGGTCTCGGCTTTACATAGGTAATGAGGTCCCCCGGGCGGGAGGAAGCTGGCGATGGGGCTAGAGCCCACGTCGCTTCCTCGGCGTACACCGAAGCAGTTCCGCACAGCTCCCCGGCTATCGGGTTCCTAGCGCTGCCCGGAATGGGTTTAGCAGATGGGGAGAAGG